TAATTAGTTGGACGTATAGTTATGACGCGCACTGTATGTTCCAGAATTTTCTTAGGAGGAATGGTGTAAAATAAAGACTTTAACTCACACTTTTCCCCTTGGTACAAAAATGGACAAAAAATGGCCACAGAGAAGTCATTATAATTCTTTCGTTTCCAAAATGAATTTTAAAAATTTAAAAGGAAAATTAAAAATGCCATTGAGACATATTGTTAGCGGATAGTTAAGTTATGCTCATAACTTAAGAAATTCAGGAAAAACGAGAAAATTCGGGTAAATTGCAAAGCTAAAAAAATTATTTTACAGATCCCAAAAGATTGTTTTCTCAAAAATAATCTAAAGTAAATTCAAAAAGGTGTGAATTCTAATATAAATTTAAAAAGATTAATTTTCTCCCTTACCGCCCAAACAGTTTCAATATTTTCAGTAATTACTGCTTGCAATTCTCTTCTCCAAACAATAAGATTAGCATTATCAAATATTTGTTTAAACCAAGAAGTATGTTGATGAGAATTAAATGACTTTTTCTCCACAATTTTATTATTATTTTCATCCACAATTTCCTCCTCTTCATTTTGTGAAAAAGTCTCATTATTTGAATAAATTTGTTGTCCTCCTCGTTCCTCCCATAAATGGTATAAATTATCTATTAACTAAAAAAGTAATTTTAAAGATTAAAAAAATATTTAAATAACCAATTTTGCTTGTTCTTCAAGCTGATCAGCCCTAGCTGTATCTTTTGGACTAGCTAATGAACGAATATTTGCAGCAAGCCAAGAACGTCCGTGCTGGTAAGCCTTCAAAATGAAATTTTTTTATTTCATTTAAAAATGCTTTGAAAAGAATTTATTTAAACGGCTGATGGCAATTTACATGCATAAATGACGTTTAAGGATTTGGAAAATTCGAAAAAACACCAGAAGGTAGAAAAAGAAAAAATCAAAATAATAACCCAAAATAAAATTTTTCAAAAGAAAAACCTGCTCCATATAAATATCCAAATCTAACTGTTCTTTTCCATCTCTAGTGGTGTAATTCATAAAAGTATAACGTAGCCAATCTGGATTTGAAGAAAGAACATTTCCACCAAGCTTAACTAAATGTAATCCTTCACTGTGTAATTGAACGAGAGTAAAGAGTAGAAAAAGAACAGATCCAACAGCCAAAGCACCCATTACAGCAAGGGAAGCAATTAAATCGACACGAGACAACAAACTGCTGATAAACTAAAGTAAAATTTATGAAATTTTATTGAGAAAGTAAGGAAGAAGGTAGGTGATAGGTGGTTATGAAAATATAAAGTGATCTAATTTTTAAATTTCAACATGCTTTCCATTTCAAAACTACTGAAACCCCCCAGCCTGAATAATTTTAAGAGCAAAAAATTTTGAATGGAGCATCAAATCAAAAAACGACGAGTGAAATAATACTTACGGCGTTTAGAAAATATTGTATTTTAAAAGCTAATTGTCAAAAAAACCCAATATTATTCCCGACTTTTTTGGGCAGCAATTTTTCCAATTTTCCCAAAAATTCAAATTTCCAAAAGGCCCAAAATTAGCAGATTCAAAATCTTTAAAAGAATTATTCAAATCCAAAAATAAAATTTGTCCCAAAATTAATACATTTTTTGAGTAAATTTCCCCAAAAAAATTATTTAAAAAAAACCATTCGATCACTAGTAAAGAGCAAATGAACAAATTTACGAAGAGGACCAGCCACAACAACATGCACAAATTTATCCAGTTTATTAGCCAATTGTTGTTGAATAATTAATAAAAATTGCCAAAAATATTCTTTCAATCCCAAACGATTGCCTTTAAAATTTTTTAATAAAATTCTTTTAAAAACTCAAAAAAACCTAAATCAACGAAAACAGCCAAAGCAAAAGGAATAATTACAAAAATAAAAAGTAAAGAATCATGGTTGACAATAAACAATAAAGCACACAAACAAGTAATTATTCGCAAATGATTATCAGAAGAAAGAGACTTGAAAAATAAATTTTTAAAAAATAAATGAACTAAAAAAGTCGAAAAGGTACAAATTTTGAAAAAAAGTCAATTTCTAGAAGAAATGATCAAAACTAATGACCCTTTAAATAAATCTCTGCCTTTATAACTGGTGGGAAATAATATCTTTTAAGGGAAGTAGCTCTTTGATAAGGGGAATAAATATAGAAAATTTCTCGGTCTTCCAAATTTAACCTGTCGGACTTGTTTACAGAAACGTGTCCAGTACTTATTATTAGACGGTAGATCAAACCGTTCAACCCCGTATGTTCAAACAACAAAGCAGGATTAATGGACCCTATGAAATCTTTTCAAAAAACCACCAACCTATCCAAACACCAAATTAAAATATTTTTTTAAAAAACCTTATTAAACTGTTCAAATTGTATTGCTGTATTAACTTCTTCAGCCAATGCTTCCTTTGCTTTTGAATTTTCATTTATTTCTTTTTCCTTTTTTGTTTCATCAATATCTTCACTAATTTCCTCATCAGCACCAATAATTCCAGCAGATATAAATGCCAAAAGGACACAACAAATAGAGAATATAATAACTCTCAAAGGGCCAAATAAATTAGAAACATGTGAAACAAGTAGAAACCTTTAAAAAAAATAAAAAGTTGAATGTTAAAAAATTGTATGACCACATTTTCTGGCTACTCTATAGAGAAAGGACTATAATTAAAAAAGTGGAGGGTGGCCAGAAAAAACTATACTTATTTTGACTCTTTTCCAAAGAAAAGTACTCCAAAAAGGGCCTTCATTAGGGTTGTCGGTTTCAAACCGAACCGAAAAACAAGTTAACCGAAGAATCCGACAGTCCTAATCTTCACTAATACTGAAAAGGTACCACAAAGACTAAAAAAACCCCGTTAAAAAAAGAGACCCTATAATTCTCCCGTTTTTAAAAAAAATTTTCAAAAAAATATAAAAATTTAAACAAACCATATGGGAACTGAAAGGACTCTAGCCAATTTTTTATTAATATTTTCCAAATCAAACGAGTAAATCCAAGCCCCAAAGGGTACAGTGTAAAGAAAAATTACCAAAAAAGTCTAAAAATAAATTGAAAAAAATTAAAGAAATTAAAAAAAACCTGCCAAAGAGTAAATAACCCAATTAATTTATCAATTAAAGAACAAAAAATTCCAAAACGATTAAGCAAAATTGTAAAACCATCGTAGTGGCATAATAATTTTAGACTGACATAGCCAATTCCAATACAAATGCCGGTAAAGCTTTAAAAAATAATTTTTGGAATTTTTTTTTTTATTTTTAAAAATTTTTGATTTTTAATGAAATTAATTCTTATAAAGAAAATTAATTTTTGGGTGAATTGATTTTATAGAAAACCTCAGCCAGGCAGAAAAAAAAATTGGAATTTTATGGAAGTTAAAGCGCCAAAACGATAAGCGATTTCATAATTTTTTAAAACTTGAAGGAGTTATTCCCAAAAATTTTAATTTTTATTTGGTTTGAAAAAAATATATTTGCGGATAAATTTCGTGACTAGCAGACAATTTCAATTATTTGTTTTCAAGGGATTTTAAATAGGAAAAAGAATTGTTGGAATTAGAAATGCCCTACGAAATTAAAGAAAAATTCTGAATTCGAAAGATAAGCAAATTTAAGTTTTTTTGAAAAGAAAAGAATTTGTCCGCAAATATTGTCCGCAAAAATAAACATTTTTAATATTTAAAAATTTTCTAAAAATACCTAAAAGCAATTTCATAAATGTAATTAGCCCAAAACATCAAACTTTGTAGAGGCAACAAAGCCAATCCAACAATTAACGGTCTGTCCATTTCATCCAAATTTTTCAACCAATTATTTAATTCTGCACTTATTAACCTTTTCATTGGAAAAAGAATTGTCCCAATTAGAGAAGCCCACATTATTGGAGTCAAAAACATATTTAACATTTGATAAACAGCAAAAGCACATGCCAAGACTAATCCAAGCTTAAAAAAATTTTTTTGAATAATAAAATTGACAATGAGACTAAAAATGGAACTAAATTGTGGGAGAAGGGAAGTAGGGGAAGGAGGATAAGAGAAAATCGTTATTTGAGAAATTCTATGTTTGAAGTAGGGTTGGGCGGGATTCCGACGTAAAATCGGGATTTTGGATTAATGGTCCCTATCCCAGTCTCAAGCCAGGCTCGGGATCATTAAAAATAGGGATATGGATTTAACTTTCGATTCGGGATCAGAAAAATCGGGATTCAAAAAACCGGAATAATTCTAGTCTGTAGTAAATTTATTTTTAGAGGAAAGGATTAATAAAAAACCCATTAAAACGGGAACGGAGGCCAGCATGAGAGCCAACATAGGAACAAACCTGCCCTTTTTAAGATTTGAAAATGGATTGAACTTGAACTCAGAAAAATAAAATAAAAAAATACCAAAGAAAAAAGTAAAGTATTGTAAAAGGCAAACAATAAAGCTTTCTTTTGGTCTTCATTTACAGGTATAACAAAAGATTGTTGTCTTTGCATTTCTTCGATAGGCATTCTTATTTTTTGATAAAAAATATTTCTTTAAAAAAAATTAAAACATCCTCTGAAATTAAAAAAATTAAAAAAAAGCAAACAGGGAAAAGATATTTGATAAAAGTACAATTGTATTTGCTAAAGTACAATTGTACTTTTATTTTTTGAGACTCGAATGACCAAGACTTTTTTGTCGCCGGGTCCTTTTGTCGCCTGCTTTATTGGAAATTACCGTATTCATTTCGCGGAAAATTAAATATTTGAATTATTTAATGTCTTTTCTGTCCCTTCCTCAAAAGTATTTTGCTAAAATTCTTAAAAGAAAAAGGGTTGTTTATATTTAGTATTAAAAGGGTTGTTTGTTTAATAAAATAAAATAATTATTTGACCTTGATAACGTTTTGGACACTTAAAAATTGATAACAAAATTGAGACATTTATTATAATTTTTTTTACTTTTACCTTAATCAATAAAAAATATTTTTAAATTTTTTTTAAATGTTTTATTTATTTTATTTTAAAATATTTTTATTTTCCTTAATTTCTTTAAATAAAGGTTCAAAATTTTTAAAATTTAAATTTCCAAAATTCCTTTAGTTAATGGATTTTGTATGAAGACTATATGTTCTGCGGATACCGATTCTCGACACCCTGTAAACCGAATAATTGGTATTGGTTCGGATGGAATTAGTGGAGAATATAAAGCTTTGAGGTGTGAAGATATTTTAATTTTATATTGAATAATATGTATGTTTTGAACATTCTCTTGAAGAAATCCGGTGTGGCGGTAGTACCACAATAGTACCAAACCGTGCCTAACACTAATTATTAGCTGGGTGGGGAGTCTGCCAACACAATACCATTAAATTTACTATAATGGATAATTGGGACCATACTTTGGCAAGCTTCTACTGATAATTTTTTTTATTTTTTAAAGACGAAATGATCAAATTGTTGAAGCTGTTGATTTAAGTTGTAGAGAAGGAAGCTTTGTTTATTCTCCTTTTGAAGGGGAAATTTCTGCTTGGAGACCTTTTGATGGAAATGGGCAAGATGAAATTAGAACGGATGAAAATAAAAAGAATACAGATGGATGTAAACCTGACCGAGGAGTTAGAATTGATGGAAAAGGACAATGGCAGGGTATGAGGAGATTAATTTTTTGTTGAATTTTTTTAAATTTAAAAATTGAAAAAATACTCTCTTAGGTAGTTGATGAATTTTTAAAAAAGTGAAGAAAAAAAAGTTAGCGAACCCTCATAAGAGAAACCCAGCCCTCCATCCGAATACAACTGCAGGGCAGAAATAGAGCAATGCATACTAGTCATCTTCGAGTCAAGAGTTGTGATTACCCTCGAAATCACAAAACTTTCCTCAAATCATAATATACAAACGCCCCGCGGGAAGACCCCTCCATTCCCTCCCCCACAATGGGAGATACACTTTGTCAGTGTAACGCTTCTGAGGGTTGCAGTCTTGAGACCACTCCCCCTCCTAACAGGAAACGGCGGCAGGTAGTTCGCAAGGATCAGTTATTTTGGGTTAATTATGTAACCGGCAATTATTTACTTCGAAAATATTTAATGAGGCGTAAAATCAAACTAAATATCCTTTTATTTATTTTAACTAATTCTAATTTACTCTATCTCTAATACATATATACAGTCAAGAAGCAAAGAACAAAGGTGCCGTGTGATTTGGGCAGTGGTGAGTTGGGCAGTGAGTAATTTGGGTAGTGAGTGATTTGGGCAGTAAACGTTTTTTAAAAAATAATTTTACACGCAAAAACAATTTGAGTAACGTTAGACTTATAATTTTTAAATTATTTAAAATTGATAAGAAAAATTCCGGAAATTTTTATTAAACTTAAAGTAAATCCAAAATTTGAACATATTTTTCCATAACTATTTTGACCTTTTTCAGATATTTTTGACCTATTTTGAAAAATAAAAACTTAAAATATCTACTTAATTAACACTTCTTCGCATCTTAAATTTACTTATCAATTAGGGAAACGTCAAAATTGAGACCAAGACGATTTCAACAAAGGGTAATGTTGTACATACAACGTTATCAAAATGAAAAAGGGGTGCGGTTCTTTGTATTTTTGTGTAAATAATTTAAAAATTCTAAGTTACTGCCCAAATCACTCAAAATTATTCTTCTAACGTTACTCAAATTGTTTTTGCGTGTAAAATTATTTTTTAAAAAACGTTTACTGCCCAAATCACTCACTGCCCAAATTACTCACTGCCCAAATCACCACTGCCGTTTTCACCAGACACGAAGAACAAAACTCTGCCCGCTTCAGGACAATTGATGTCCCGGTAAAATGCCATCGCAAGCTAAAAAAGACAAAATACCGTTAAAACGGCTAATTTCCAAAAAATAGAATCAACGATTTATTGATCAAACAAGTAAACAATGAAATTAATTGATAGTAATTAATTGGTAACTAACAAGCAATTAATTGACAATAATGGACAATTAACTTTGAATAACCAATTAATTGATATAACATTACCAATGATTGTTTATTGGTCAATCCCCAGTTTTGACCAATTTATTTTTGGCTGTATTTCTTCAAAATTATATTTTTTGAGGGCTTTGTAAATCCTCCTAACATAAAAATATTTCTACTAATTATTCAAAATTAAAAAAAGGTTATCACGTTTTAATTGGCTCTGTTCGTTTATTCCGCTATAGTGGACATGTTCATGCTGGACAAAAAATTGGTGTAGCTTTGGATATTGAATGTGAATTGAAATTAAATAAACAGAAGATGCATAAACGTCCTCGAAAAGAAGAAAATTTTGTCAGAGTTTATTTACACAAGGAAGGACGTCCAATTGATCCAACACATCATTTAATTGATTGTTTGTTTTTTAATTTAAAATTTAGGGAGTTAACTGGGACTGGATTATTGGGAGCTTTTTTATCATGAAGACACATGTTAGTGTCATTTAATTTTGAAAGGATTTCTGTTAAGGTTGTTTAGGTTCATGAGTAGGATTGTCGCCTACTGGAAAATTTTCGGATATCCGAAACCGAACCGAGGAATAACCGAAAAAACCTCGGTTCGGTCATGAGATGTTTATTAAAATATCACTTAATGCTCCTCGTTTTTGGGTCTGAACGGTGACAAAACGCCGGTAAATAATGGAAAAGTCGGCAGGCTGTTGTTTTAGCTCTTACTCTAAATAAAAAGTCATTTATGAAGGTATGTGTATAAATCAAGTCTGCGAGACAAACAGAATTAATGCTTTGGAAGGACCGTCTTTTAAATTTGACAGGTAAACAAAAAAATTTCTAAAAAAATTCCAATCTTTTCAAAAAAAAAGTCGTTTTAACGGTGTTAGAGGATGGGAAATTAAATGTCCAGATATCCAACAAATTGAAGAAGAAAATTCTTCAGAAGAAGAGGAAGAAAAGAAAAAAGAAGAAAATAATAATTTAAATGAAGTATGGGGAACTCCAAAAATATATTCACCTATAGAAGGGGAATTGGTTGGAAGAATTAGAGTTAATAGTGAACCTGGGGCACAGACTTATACTGGCTGTACTAATGAAGGAATATTTATTGTTGGGGCTGGAAAGTGGAATGGTAAGAATTAAATTTTTAAAAAATATTTTTATTTGAGAAGCAATAGAGATATTCCGAATAATTTTTACTCAATAACGAGGATTTTTTAACCTAATCCACTTTGAACGACCCAAAGAGAATAAATTTATTATAATAAATAGACAACAATAAATTTTGTAATTTAAATTGAAAAAATGAAATCCGAGTCCGGTTAACAAGTTAATAATAAATATTTACATATATGTAAAGAGTATCCTATAAAATTTAGTTTTTTAGAAGGAGTTGATAATTTATGAATATAAAGGTGGAATTCGAACGTCTTCCGAAATATGATCGTTCTCCCTCTTATTTTAATTGCGCCAAAGATATTGTTTCCAAAAAATACCTATGTAGTTTCACTTTGTGATTCCTGGAATTTATTAAAGGTCATTTTCCGAATTTTCTCTTCTTTATCCCTTTACTACCTTATAAACTCTATTAACTAAATACTACTTATTTCTATACTTTATTTTAATTTTTAGATTATGAAGTTCGAATTTACAATGCTCGCTTTCTTGAATCTCTTCCTTTAGGGCGTCAAAATATCGAACAGGTGTCTAAAATGATTTTTCAAAAATTTTCCCAAAAAATAATTTCAAGGGCCAACACATCGGTTATCGTCTAAAATGTCCAAACGACAATATATCCCCAACCGTTTTTATCGAAGTTCGTTTCCAAGGTGTTTTGCTTGATATAACTGATGCTATAAGTGCAAAAAGTTGTAAACACAAATCTTTGAGAAATTTAATTGAACAACGATTTAATTATTGAATAAAAAATTTTGATGCTAATTTACTTAAATATTTTTTTTAAATTTTATTTAATATGTAAAATTAATTGAAAGGAATTATATGTCTGATCCGTATCCATCCGATCTTGAAAAAACATTATCTAAGGGTGACTCGTACCGGCGACTCGATAAAAACATATTATCCTATCCATGTAAAGGCTGTTTAAAAATAAATTTCTTTAAGGGATTAGAAGGACTTACAAGAATAATTATGGGTGAATATCTAGTTGTTCGTTAATTTTCATTCTAAATGTACAATAAAATAAAATTAATTCTATTAAATTAAATGAAATCAATTTTGCTAATAATAAATTTAAAAAATTTTTTCTTATTTCCGAAACGTGGGAATTAAATAATTGCCAAATAAATTTTAAATTGAATAGTTAGATATTTTAATATTTAATCCACATACTCAACAGTTAGATAAATAAATATACCCCCCCCCCTCCCCCCATCCATACATAGATGAATTGTAAAAGAAAAAGATCTTCTGACTTGAAAGGATCCGAGCCAAAGTGATCCAAGAGATAAACTCTCATATGAAAAAATTTTTTTTCAATAGATAAAAGATTAGAGTTGAATTAATAAGATAGATGTATTTTCTATCCGTATTTAAACAATTTAAATTTACCCCCTTCATAAAAAATTTTTTTGAATAAAATTCTAAAAAAAGAAAATGTTTTTTAAATTAATTTATTTAATAATATTTTCTTTATTATTTTTAACTGGAAATATTTTATGTCAAAGAGGGCCTGTTCAAAGAAGTGAACATTCAAAGACCCCATGTCAATCTAATCCATATGGACAAGAATGTATGGATTTCTGTAAAAGATCTCCAAAAGATCGACAATGTCCACATAAAGGGAAGTAATTGAAATTTTGATTGGGATTTCTGATTTTATATTATTTTAAATTATGGACAAGTCTTTTTACTTTACTTTTACGCTGGTCTTTTTTCAATAAAATTCACAATTTGTATAAAATTCTGAAAATTTTGTTTTTTAATTTGGTTTGAAACATAAGAGATGTTTCAAAACAAAGAAATCTTCAAAAATCAAAATTTTGAAACAACACTGGTTGTCATCTCCTCAGTTATTTTTACATCGCAAGAAAATAAAATTAGTAGCTGAACTTTAGTGACCTTAACTCACGAGGGAGCGTAAGAAGGGCTCTACTACAGTTTATGAGTCCAATCAAAATATATAATATTATTTTAACTATGTGATTTAAAGAGTATTTTCCATGATAATATTCAAAAAATAGTGTAAATTTATTAACAATAATAATATTAAATGTTTTATTTAAGTTTAAATTATAATTAATTAAATTAAAAATCAATTCTGCTAAAAAAATTTTTTTTTATTATTTTCTAAATTTGTATATTCCCAAACAAAATACCAAAAATATTAATTTTTATTTTTAATTTGCACTTTCAGCAGCTAATTAAACATTTATAATACTTTTCTATACCCAAAATTTAAGTTTAAAGGAAAAATTAAATCTTTTACCTCGCAAATTTTTTTAAAAGCCGCAAACTTGTGATATTTTTGGTAAAAAAGAACTTTTTGTTTTTCAAAAAATTAAAGATTATAATTGAATAAAAACGTAAATGGACACAAAAAAGGTATTTTTCAAGGCGTATTTAAACATCTCGAATCACCCCTAATTTTCAAAAAAAATATTTTAATTCCAAAATTCCAAAAAAATGTTTTTTAAATTAATTTACTTAGTAATATTTTCTTTGTTATTTTTAACTGGAAATATTTTATGTTCGGAAGGTCCTGATTCAGTTAACGGACTCGATGAGAATGGTTCTTCATGTGATCATAATCCTGTTGGAAAAGAATGTCGTGAGTTCTGTCGTAATCATCCAAATAGTCCAAAATGTCCTCACTTGAAAAAGTAATGCAAATGAAAAATTGTGAAGAAAAAAAGGAGAGGGGGGGGGGTATTATTAAATTGGAATATTAAAGAAGTAATGGGGGAAGTAATTAAAATAAATTTTAATTATTTTAATTTTAAATAATTTTTTAAATCAAGGGAATATTATTTTTAATTATTTTAATTAACGAATAAATATGTATTTGAATAAATTGGTGATAAAAATTTTATTAATTTTATTTTTTCAATTTAAAATTTGGAAAAATCCTTTATTTAATTTAGCTAAAATTTTCCACCTTCCGTCTCAAAATTGCTCCTCGTATTTTTCAGTTAATTAAAGAATTTATATATTCTTCCTTCTATTAGAAACTAGAAACAAAAAATTTCAGAATATTTTCTCTTTTTTAATTTCTAGAGCTTTTGATTGATTCGAATGACTATTTGATTTAGAGTCATTTATTGTGATTTTAAATTTTATTTTAATTTTTAAATCATTGGAATAATATTATTTTACAAATATTGGAATAAAAAATCTTTTTTTAAATAAAGATTTAAAAATTTGGGAAAAACTTTTTTTAATTTAAATATAATCTCTACGTCCGAAGAAGACCTACAGTTAAAGAAAACGTTAAGCTCGGACTTCTTTAGTTTTCCAAAAGATAGAGATATGAATTTTTGAAAATTGGTCATATTTGTATTTTACCATTAAATTTATATAAAATGAGAGTAAAATTTTGAGTCAAGACTCAAGATCTCGGACAGCTCTACTAGCAACCGTTAGCATCGAAGGACCTGGCTGGATGATAGTCATAGGAGACACATAAAAGCAAATATTTGTTTTAAATGCTCCTGGCAAGTTCTGAGAAATGGTTTACAGGTTTTATATACTAGAAGGAATAATCTAAAGTAGAGTTGGCCGGTATCGGGATCCTGACCGGTATCGGTCGGGATTAACCGGTATTACACATAATGTAACAGTGTTGGTGCTAGATTTTGTTTAGTGCGATTATCCTTTATAAAAACACAATTCATCTGTTATCCGGCTAAATAAAAAACATTTTCTATTTAAAGTATACTTTTTAATATTAGGGTGTAACATAAATAATTAGCCCCCCTTAAATCATTAAAGTTTGAAAATGTATATCTCAATGTTCAGATCTCCAATCTGTTTAATTTTTTGTCATATATTCACAATGATGCCTTCTTCATTTTTTGAAAGATTTGAAATTTTTTCTTTATTTAAAAATTTTTTATGAATTTTTAAAGTTTAAGGCAAAATTATGAAATTAGCGTCCAGTTCAAATATGAGATTGAACTTGGACATTCGGAAAAGGAATCATGGCACAAAATATGCATAGCGAAGTATGAGGATGTTATCTCCTATTCCACAGAAAAAAGTTGGGTCCCCAAATAAAAAAAAGGTAGAGAGGAGCTGAAAGACAAATAACGTCTTGGATGCCAACCAACGATAGTTAAGAATCCCGTTCTCCCCTGAATCAAAGCCAGTCCAAAAAATAAAACGTGTATATTGGGGCAGGCACTCACCTGCTCACTTACAAAAATTACCATAATTTTACTTGAAGCGGGTATCAAGTTATGAAGAGTCGATTGATACCCCATGAATTGCCGCAAAATTAAAAAAAACCACTAAGTCACTTTTGCAAAACAACCCCTTAAACGCCACAATGAAGCTCCCTATTTGAATCAAATTTTAACCTTGAGGAAGTGTGGGTTGCCTTCATGAATTCTGTAAACAAAAAGGAACGGTCATCCCAGCTAACCATCAATTTTGACCTCTAATTCAGACTGGTCCAATAGCGTGATCTGTTATGTATTTGGTGGTGTCGCGGCGGGGTAATCATTGGAATTTAGTTTAAACTGGCTAAACTATTACTCCCAAATTGTATTATTCCCATATAGATCAAGTCCATCGAAAAATCTGGTCGCCTGGCCTCGCTAGGCATTTTCGCGCGAGAGTTATCCTAAAACAGCATAATGCTAGCCCATATTTCACAAATGCGACCCTCTAAAAAATCAGCCAGTTGTTTTCCAGTGGAATTTCTTATATCATTGTATTCATCTGATTCTGCTCTATCAGAATCTATTTAAATATTCATTCTTGCTCATCAATTTTGCAGAGAAAAATCAAAAAGAATTTGCCTTGTTTCAAAAATACAAGCTTTAGTATTTCACCTCTAATTCCGGCCTACCTAAACCTAGAATTCTAATTTTTTGCCAGAAAATAGGCAACTCTTATAGGATCATAGAAAAATATTAATTGAAGTCTGAAAACATTTAGTTGAATTTTAATAATTATTTAATCCTCTTACCACAAGGGGGGCTAATTATTTATGTTACACTCTAATAGATAAAAGATTCAAAATTAAACTAAAAATCAATTTTGACAAAAAATATTTCTTATTATTTTCTAAATTTGGATATTTGACACGAATTAACAAAATAGTATAAATTAATTTTTATTTGTATTTTCATCGGCTAATTACACAATTTTTTATACATAGACATTCAAGCTAATAAGCAAAATATAAATCTTTTACCTCGCAAATTCTCTCTTTTCGAAATCAATTATAATAAAAAAATTTTAAAAAAATTAAATAAAATCAATTAAATCAATCCATTTATAATCCTCCAAATTTTTATTCAATAATTTAAAAATTTTAATTTAATTTACCCTTATTCTCTCAAAAAAAATTTTTTAAATAAAATTCCCAAAAAAAGACGAAAATGTTTTTTAAATCAATTTATTTAATAATATTTGCTTTACTAATGATAAATCTAAAGAGAGATGTCTACCATTATGTAATGTGAGGACTATAAGTTGTCCAAACGTTTGTGTGATGTGTCGCCTTTGCGTTGAAGATGATTTAATAGAAGGATGTAGTTAATTGTGATTTTGAATTTTATTTTAATTTTTTTAATCATGTAAATATTATTTTTAATTATTTTAACTAACAGAAATAAATTGGTAATTTATCTATTTTATTTTATTAATAAAAATTTAAAATTTGGGAAATTTATTCTAAATTTTATATCACAAATAAGCAATTTTGATAATTAAAAAAAATTTTTTAACTGCAAAAATGTTCAAGAACTAAAATATTATTGGGTATACTTTAGCCGGTGGCCCACTTCAAAACCCTTCTATATTTATACCATTCGATTTGTTTCGGCGAGCTGAGTCGGATGATACCACACCCAATCTGCGGAAATGCCTACGAGACGAGATATGAGTCCTTAAAAGCCGAAAAACCATAGGGGGGAGTAAGCACATAACTCATTTGAAGAAGCTTCTCGAGCTAAGTCAAATGACACCAAAATCAACAAAATCCGACTTGATTTGACAAAGTTATGAGCATTTATTTTAGCTCCTTACCTTTGTTTACATGCAGTTTTTGCTGCTGCGGAGGATATTAGGATATTGGAGGATTAAAATTGGTGTGGAACAATTAAGAGTGATATAAGGGAATTGAAAGGTTTATTGGAATATAAAGGGATTTGGAGAAATTAAGAGGCTGTGAAAGGATTAAAGTGACATAGGGATAACAGACTCTTAATCCAACTATATCCTTCTTAATCACTGGATATCCATCCCAAATCCTCCTACATCCCTCTTAATCGGGATATCCCTCCTAATCTGCGATATCCATCCAAATTACCCAATATCATTCTTAATCCCTCGATATCCTTCATATCCTCCATGGTAATATTAAAAAGGAAAAGAAAATAGGTATGTGTTTATTGACGACTGTTTATCATTGGGAAGGAAGAAAATAAAAATGTTGGCCGATAACAAGAATGCGACATAATTCAATTCTGAATAATATTTAATTAAATTAATTTTGCAAAAACGAATTTTTTTAATCTTAATTTGCCATACAATTAACAAAAAATTTTAATCTTTATTTTAAATTCGGAAATTTCAGCAGTTAATTAAATATTTACATAAATTTTCAAGCTAAAAACAAAAAATTACGCATACAATCTCAAAACCACTTTTTAAGCCGCCCATTTATGATCATCTTTCGTATAAAAACGAACTTTTTTCAATAGATTAAAGATCAAAAATTTAAAAGGTACAAAAACGTACATATTTTCGATATGTATTTAAAATAATTCAAATTTACCTCCAATTCTCAGAAAAAAATTCCAAAAAGAAAAATGTTTAAATTAATTAATTTAATAATAATATTAGCTTTATTATTTTTGGTGAATAATCGCTTTATTATTTTTACCTCCTCCTTTATTGTTCCAGTTACTAAGCCTGGCCCTCAATGTAATTATGAACTATCTGGAGAAAACTGTAGATTGATATGTTATAACAATAATCCTAAATGTAAAAACTTTTGCAATTTATGTGAATATTGCCATCTTAATCCAAATGCAATAGAGTGTTAGTGATTAGTATTTTTATTTTTTATAATTTTTTAATCATTTGAATATTATTTTTAATTATATAATAATACAACTATTGAAATAAATTGGGGATAAAAATTGTATTAATTAATTTTTTTTTAATAAAATTATTAAAATTTGGGAAATCTTTTATTTTAATGAGCATGGCTATAATTTCCCTCTACTCTTATGTATTGTTTTTTTTACTTCTGTCTCAAGAAAATAGTTAAAGAAAAAGTCATGTTTCTTTTCTCAACGAAAATATGAATTTTTGATTTGCCCAGAAATTTTTTCAAAAAGTTATAAAAATATGAAATTAAACTGTAAAACAATGAATAATGGAATATTCAAGAAATACAAGAATAGTGTTATTTCATTGTTATAACTGACAGTTTAAGTCATTTTGTTTTGACCATTCATTTAAAGATAAAGTAAAATTTTTGGGCTATATTTCTCACCTTCAGTTAGTGCAAAAGGTTAATCAGCGCATGAGTGCGAACCAGCATCTTCAGTAGACCGAACTGATATGTTATCCATTATACCACACCGCCTACTGCATAGCTTTTTTTAGGAATTAGGGAATTAATTAGGAATTAAATAGCTATATGCTTTCTTCCATTCCTTGCTTACTTTGTCGATCTTTTGCATCAAACAAAAACGAAAAAAAAATAACCCACGAGGTTTTTATCAAAATAATTTTAAACTATAAAAGAGTGCAAACCTCAACGTCATAAGAAAGTCCCAAGTTTTGCTTTAACGTGACGAAAATTTGAGGAAAGAAATATAAATACTTTATAGCCTTACTTATTCCTCCTCTTTATTTTTAAACTAAAACACTTGCTGCTTTTCAAAAAAATTTTTTTTTTCATAGTCTAGCAGAGCAAATGATAATAATTATATAAAAATATATTTTTGTGTTGATTGACATAATAAATAAAGGTGTGGGGAAAGAGGAGGAGAATAAGCCTCCCCTTTTTTTCATAAAAATGTAGTCTAGCAGAGAGAAAAAAATTTTTCCGATCAGTTGAACACTAGAAAAAGAGAGGAGATGCTTATTCTCTCTCTCTCATTTGTTTAAGCCCTTCCATCTATGGAATAATAATTTCCCTCAATTTACAACTAAATAGATTTGTTATATAAAGTTGTAAAAAATAATGACAGGATCCGGTTTATTTTAATCTTTGTTTTATTTATTTAAGGAGAGGTTAGATAAAAATATCTCTTTGACATTAAAAGTGAAGATAAAAGAACTATTTGTCAATTCTGTGATAATATTTTCCTTATTGATCTATGAATCCAGCATTTTTTAAAGTTTTTTGGACTAGAAAGATTTCTGGATATTTTTACTTGATCCAGAAGCAGATAGACAATGTAAATCATATAGCTATTTATTTCCTAAGGCTGTGGAGTAGGCGGCATGGTGTAATGGCTAGTACATCAGTCCGGTCTACTGAAGGATGCTGGTTCGCTCCCAGCAACCATTTAACCTCTTGCATTAGCTATAGCCCATCGCTTTACTACAATTTAAGCCACAATCAAGGGTTAAGGATTGTTACACTTAACTGTGCTTAAATCCCAAAAATATTTACTTTTCTGATTTTTCACATTTTAAAAAAAATTATATTAAATTTTAAAAATTTTTAATTCCAAGAGAATAATTCCCCTCTAAAATTCAAAAAAAAATTCATATTAAAATGACTTCTCTACCAAATGCTCATATACTTAGCATTTATATTCTTCTTATTGTTTTCTTTTATGATAATACAAATGGATTTAATGCCGAAGAAGACAGACTTCGTTACAGCTTTTTGTAAGTTACCTTAAAATTTCAAAAGAAACTTTTCCTGCTACTTTTTTAAATTCGACAAAATGTCTAATAGGGCAAATTTCGACAAAACGCCCACGAGTAAAAATGCCTAAAAGGGGCTTAGACTGCTTTTTAGAAACAAAATTACAGACAAAAAAATTTTTTTTTAATTTCAAAAAAAGTATTTTTCCAATAGAAAACTTCTTCCACTATTATTTTTGGCCTTTGCTGTTCATTTTGGAAATGACTCTAGTCAATTAAAAATAAAAGAAGACGAGAATAATTTAATTACAACAGCAAAAATATCAGACAAATTTTCAAATAAAAAACATTTTTTGTCTGCCGCACTTTTCTCCGCTGCTCTTGGCGATTTTCTAATTAGTGCTTTACCTAATCCTCATTTGGCATTTTCTGCTGGGGCTATAGCTTTTGGGTTTTGTCACATTTTTTATATGGTAAATATTTTAATTTTTATTTGAAAAGATTGGGGGAACTGAACTCTTTGAATAGAAAATTGTCAAGGTTTATAGGATTACCCCCTGTTAATACCTAGCATATCTCCCACATCGGTCTGTAATATAAGAATGAATGTTGTGAAGGTTAGATGAGAAGCTGACTTAACTTCTCTTTTCATTAGAATGGTAGCTTGTCATGAAGTTGGTGTTGATCATATACATATCATCATTTGGCATTTTGGGGTCATATGCCGGGATAATAAAAGGGGGTAATCACTCATACTTAACCTGATATACTATTTTAATTTAACTACCAACCTCATTTTTGTATTACAATGCAAACTTAAATATGTAGATATCGTTAACGATAACTATAATTACACTCTTATTTCAGCTACTACATATCCCCCCTCCCTCTCCATAATTTAAAAATTTTAAAAATTTTTCAGTTTGAATATTTTCCAAGAATTAAAAGAATTTTGTTAAAACTAGCAATTCCTCTATATTTATATACCTTAACTATTTGCTATTATTTTTTATTACCTAAAATTACCCAACATCCATTTGTTATCTCTACATTAATTGCTTATGCTGGAGTGTTATCTACTGCAATTATTGCAAGCAGTTCTTTAGCTTTGGAAACGAGGAAAATGGTTGGAAATGTTTTTGTTTTAACAAAAATGGATGTAAAATCAAGCAAATAACTAATTGTGTCTTTTCCATTGTTTTATAATACCCCCTAAAGGCTTTGTTTGAAATTGGGAGAAAAACGACAAAATGCCCATTAAGACAAAATTTGACAAAATGCCAAATAGGACAAAATTTTGTCCAGTAAGAGAATACTGACAAAACCCCCCACGTAAGAATATTTCAAATTGAGTTTTGGATATTCTGCCCGTACATCTAAAGACTAAAATTTTGCATTTTAATTTCTGAGTATTAAATTAAAATTTCCAGAAGGACATTCTTCGAATTATTGGCTATATTTTCTTCTTCATTTCCGATTCTTTACTACTTTTAGAATATGCTGGAATAGAGCCAGCTAATGAAATTATTGTTCTCTCAACTTATTATTTATCTCAATATGCAATTATGGAAAGTTCTTTAGTTGTTGGATGTGAAATTTGAAAAATTAGAGATTTAAAAAATAGATTGAAAGACGAGCTTTTTAGAATTAATGACTCTTATACTAATTTTACTCAAAAAGTTGATTCTGGTTATAACCTTCCATTGAGAGAAATGGCTGCTAAGTTAGAGTTTGAATGAGATTTATTCGATGTTTTTGGGAAGCTTGGTCAGAGTGGGTATAATTTTGTATGTGGGTATAATTTTGTAATGGGATTATAACGAGAGTCGACTATTCTAATAGAAAGGTACTCTGGCAAGGTGGATATTTTAAGGGAATGTGAGTCCAAGGGCAAACTTCCTTAAATTAAAACTCCTCCCCTCCAAGCTATCTTTCGAAAATGAGTACCTCTCTATTAGAGCCTATTTTTTCCTTGTAATATAAAAATAACGATTTCTGTAACTAATATTTTTTTAATTTTTTAAAGAAAAGAAAATTCTTTTTAATATCCCTTTTGTTGTAAATTATTTGTAGGTATCCCCCCACCAGGCATTTGATCATTAACACCTCCCCCTCCACTATTTGCTGCTTCCTCTTCCAATGCCCATTCTTCTCTCAATTCGCTTGTTACACTTGCAAATCTGAGAAAAGTTTTTTGATTTAATAAATTCACACTTTTGATGAGACAAAATATTCTGAAAATTCTTTGGATTTGATACGCAAGTCCTATAGGGACAATTCACCGAAAATCAGACAATTCACCGAATTGTCAAGTTTCTCCCTTCCATTCAACTAAAAATTAGAACGCTCACAATGAATCCCATGTCCAAGGAATATTCTCATCTTGAATTTCATCTTCTGGACAAAGAAATCGAGAAAGAAAGTTTACATCGTCTGAAAGAAAAATTATTACGTAATTTTCTCAAAATATTTTAAATTTTACCAATTTCTCCCCCATTTTCACTATTATCACCCAAATTTTTAGTTCCTTTATTTATTTGTTGCTTTTGTTGTTTCATTAGAAAAAGAGAAGAAGGATCAGCGGAAAATCCAGAAAAACGTCTCATACTTGGGGCAATAGCTGCTTGTTCACTTAAATCCATCTACAAATAAAAAACAAGGGTGATTGCTTGGTCACTGCCTTATAAAATTAACTAGAAATTTCTAAAATAGACCTAGAAAACTATAATTTAATAGGGATATACACAGAAGTTGTAACTAACTCGTATAGAAATTCAGAATTTTAAGTTTAGTATAACAATAGTTATGGTTAATTAATTAGCAGAAAATCGTTGCTTCTATCAAAAATCATCATTTTGATCAAAAATTTTGAAATATCTCGAGAGGCTTGATAGACTTAATAAAATTTAAGATGCCTCCATTTGCATTTTTGTATTGTTTTCATCATTTTGTTGTTTAATAGATTCTCTTTTAGTTCCAGGGAATCCAGTAAAAGGTCTAGTTGCTGTAAATGCAACTCCATTAGCTGCACCCCCATTTGCAGTATTATCATTATTCTCAGTTCCGGATGTTCCCATTCCAGTTATTAAGGTCTTTGAAAAAGTGATTAAATTATGAAATATTAATAGAGGGATTTTTTGTAAAAAATTGTTTTTGTGAACACTTTAAAGTCTAACTTTGACTGAAAATCCTTGGACTAAATGGAAGCATTAAGGATGGATTCTCATCCATTTACAGTTGGATCTCCCTATAAGATAAACCCTTAGGTCTGAAAATTGTACCTTCTAATGAGTTTTCTTAAATAGAGATGTTTCTTTAATATTACATAGGCAGTTCGCCCTCCCAATGGTCAATCAGGCTTTAAAAAGTTGATAAATCTATTATTAAGTGATCATTTTCGTGATCAGACTTTGTGTCAAAAATTGAGCAAGATCCCTTTTACTTTCTCAAATTATCATCTTAATACCCAACAAATTTTCTAAAATTTACAACATTCATTTTACCGTAGATCTCCCTCCTACAGCTGAGGGAACTCTATTACTACTAGCTCTATTAGCAAAAAGAGGAGCCGCAACAGGTCGTGATGTACTATTATTTGAAGATAAATTACTGCCTTGTTTATTAGTTATTGTAATGCCTCCTCCTCCTCCTTGTGAACGTTCATTTGATTGTGTACGTCGAAAAAGGCCTTTTTTGAATTAAAGAAAATTTTTTTTTCAGAGAAAATTATTTTACTAGATAATGGACGTTTTATTTGTTCTTTAATTTCATTAGCCTTCTTTTCAATGGAAGAAGTTCCAGAGGTATTATTTCCAACAATTGATTGTATACCTCCAATATTGTCTCCACTTCCCCCACGTTTTGATAAAAAAGAGCCAAGACGAGATTTTGGTCGTTCTTCTGTACCTGTAGTTGATCGTTCTCGAACTCGAACATTTAAGTCATCTAAAAATGATTCGGATTTTCTGTGACTTAAGTATTTATTGAAGGAATAATCTATATAAGAAAGACTGAATAACCCTTGAGAAATAAAAAATTGCCCCTTGAGGAACGAGAGGAAAAATTTTTAAATTTTACACACCTCCTTTTCCTTCTTGTTTACCACTACGAGAAGGAAGACGACTGCTTCCAGAACGTGAAACAAATCCTGCTGAAGAAATGGCATCGTTTACATCCTTTGATGTCATTTTAGTTATTCAATATTTAAATTTAACGAATTGATATTCAAAACAAGCATATTTTTAAACCTTTAAACTTCGTTTCCAATAGCAACAAGGAGATAATTATTGACTAGAATCGAGAAGAAATCTGACGAACTAATTCCTGTAAAATCCCCTTTTTCGAAAAATTGTTATTTTTATTTTAAATATTCGTGTGAATTTATAAGAAAATCTGAGATTTATCATTTTTCCTTCAATTATTCACTTTTTGGGATAAAACTGTACTAGAATATTAATTTTATAACAAAAATGCAATTTATGTAGTTAAAATAAATTTATACATTAAGAAATGGCTGTATAAAATTTAATTAAATAAATAAATATTATTACAACAATTTACCTAATTAGTTCTTTTTATGGTCTAATTTCGTTGTTTTTCATAAGAAAGAACTTAGGCAGCAAAATTCTACAAAAGAAGAAATATCGAAAATAAAATCTCAAACAAAAAATACTTTAGCGTCCTCCACCTATGGACCTCCTTTTCATCGCATAATTGCCAAGGATCGCTTGAACTTTTCAAGTTCTTCAGCTCGGCAACGAAATGGCCGCTACGGTAATTCAGGCTGAAAATGTTTATTTTAGGTTTAAATGATTTGACTCTACCTCTGATAAAGTTTCTAAAAATTTCAAGCCAAAATAGAAAACCCCAAAGATCAATGTCTTGTACTCAGGTTAATGTCTTTTAGTCAGTCCTAGTCGCTAAGCTCTAGTTTTTCTTAAAATAATCTTTCAAAATTTATTAATATTAATTAATTAATTTAATTAAAATAAAATTTAAAAAATTTCTTAAATGATCATGTCTAAACAACAAAGAATTTATTTATATTAAAAACAATTTCAATTCAAAATTAAGGACTTTAAATATTTAATTGTACTTTTAATTGGAGTAGCAACAGGTCGAGGTCGAGGCCTCGCCGAGGTCCTCGGCGATTTTTCAACCTCAGCCTCGATTTTGCTGACCTCGGGCCTCGGAACCTCGTCTCGGTCCTCGCCCAGAACCTCGCCGAGGACCGAGGGTAAATATACACCCCTAAGAACTGACTTTTTTGTAAAAAATTGAAGAAATCTGGCTCCTTGACCTTCCAAAAATCTAAAAATTTTCGCCTGCGGCGCAGAAAAAGGGATAAATCAGACTATCCCAATCCAACTATATCTAATTTAATTCTTCAATATCCACCAATGTTAAATTATGAGACCTCTTAATCCAACAATTTCCCCAGATATAACGTTACCCCTTATATAACCTTCCTTACAAACCCCCTGCTATCCTCCTTAATCCCGCAGATCTCCTTAAATCCAATTAATCAATCTCCTCCGTGATTCCTCTAATTCCATCAATATCCCATTTGATTTTCCGATATCTGTCTAAATCAAGGCTTGACACAATTGCGGATTGCGTATTGCGGATTTTAAAATTAAAATTGCGAGTTGCTGATTGCGGCTGCGTTTCCTGTGTACTGGCTGCGTTTCATGTGTCAATTTATCGATTCAAATCCATTTATCCGTTTTTAATACATTAATATCTATTAGACCCTCCTTAATCAATTAGACCTCTTTTTATCACCCGTTATCAATCACTCAAATCCACGTTTGCCCCACCACCTTATCTTATCTCCTTAATCCTTGACAAATTTTCGGTTCAGTTTCGGTTAATCAAAAATTTCGGCTCAGTTTGCCAGTTCAGCTTCATGTTAACCACATTTCAAATATAGTGTTTGTAAAAATTATATTAATTTATATTATATTTAATTTAAAAAAAAATTATATTTAATTAATCACTAAATCACCGAGACTTTTTTAGCCTCGGTGATCCTCGGCCTCGGTTTTTTCGGAAAACCTCGACCTCGTGCTACTCTACTTTTAATTATGTAATAAAAATAAAACAAAACAAGTTTTTTTTATTATTTTCAATGAGGAAGTAAAATTATTTTTTAAAACAAACTTATTAATTATTTAATTAATTGAAGAATATTTAATTAAGATATATGTGAACAAATTAATCAAAATTTTCTGAATTTATAAAATGTCTCAGATAATGGATTCTGGCTCCTTAGCCCTCCTAGAAATTATTTTGAATTTCTGTCTTCTTTCCCACTTAAAATTCTAAAATTTTTGTTTTCAGCGTTAAAAAGTGAAAATAGAAATAAGTACCTATGTGGAAATAAGCATCTTTTTTTAATGAAAACCTTGTTTCAGCCAATTTTAGCGAATCGAAAAACACCCAAACATAATTCATCCAACTTAAGAGCCAAGCTTAGTGAATTTTGACATTTTCCTACCCAATTATAAAAATTAAAATTTTCAAGTAAATTTAAGTGCGAGGGTTTTGATCATGAATACAAAAACATAAAAATATTTGTCCACAATTTTGGGTTTTTTATTTCCTTGTTTAGTTTAACAGACAAATTAATCAACTAAATATTTAAGAGTACATGTATATTTTATTTAAAGTTTAATTTTAATTATAAATCTTTTAGATAATAAAATTTTAAAAACAATATAAAAACTGGTTTATAAGCACAAGTTAAATGTACATATATAAATTCAGATAAAAAATTTTTTAAAATTATTTTTTAAATTAATTTCTTAATTCCGAATTCATAAACCATTAAAAAATATGAAAAAAATATTAATAATTGTATTTTTGACTGTTCTGATTAGTTTGATTAATATTGTATTGTCTGTACCAACCGAAAAAGATGAAAATCGAATGTCTGAAATTAGTAATTCAGGTACTAGACCTTTTAAAAAAAGATTTTAAATAGAACGACCAATAAGTTGTTAAGCTGAATCCTGCAAAATTAACATGATGGAAAAATTCCGTCATATCTCCCGGAAACCGATTCAGACAAACGATATGTCATTCGAAAGAGCTCACCGAGCTGAGCCGAACGACATCAAAACCAGCTTCGGGACTCACCTATGGGCCGAGATATATGCCTCCGAAAATCGAAAAACCATAGGGGGGAGCAAGCCAGGGCTGAGCGAAATCAAAAAAAGATTCCGCAACTCGCAATTTTTCCAAAATCAGCTCGAAATCTTGATTCTGAGACGAGATAAGCAGGCTCAAAATGGTCAACGAAACCCTAAGGGGCGCAGGCGACGCACTTGTGCAATTAATGATTAATAGCTTTCCTCGAAAGCTTTCCAACTCCACCGATATCCTCATAAGGATTGAGTCGCTGTGCTGACTCAATCCCAGATCTGAATTCGACATCGTCGAATTCAATTTAGAAACTGTTAATTAAAATTTAATGGCTAAACTGATAACTTGAATATCCAATTTTTAATAAAATATATAGTAAAGCGGTTGGTCCCGTTCCCCAGTGCCTCGTTTATTAGTTGATGTTTAGCAGAGACGCGCATGTTGCAATCATGTGTGAACTCCGCAGAGTATAGAAATAGGTGAATCGCAGTGGGGGAATATAG